TTTTGATTCTAAAAGAAATGAGATGATTTCAGGTGTGTGAGCAGCCGGCCGCCCAGGAGCAGAACATACAGGATGCTGACCCCGCCCAGGGCCCGGAGCAGAGCTGCCGGGGGCTGTTACTCTGCGCTGGGCACAGAGCTTGTTACATGGGCGTACTTTGTAGTACTTACTACATTAACTAATGAACAGTTCCATGTCCTTGTCCCTGCTCTGTCCCCTTCTAGGCCCCAAAGGACTGAAGCTAACAGAGGCGGGTGAGTTTGTGGCGTGGATCTGGGGCAGAGCCCCTGTATCATGAAAGGCAGCTGGGCTGGCCGCGAGCTGGGGGCCTCAGACACCTGCTGCCTGGACATCGTACCACTGCTGCTCGCAGAGGACAGGCCAGTGTGGCTCTCAGGGGCGGTCACAGCCCACACGGGGCACTCAAGGTGTCAAATCCCAAACTCACAGCCAGCAGGAACTTGACCTTGAGACGCTCCTGCTCAGGGGCTGACAACCAGGAGGCAGAAACAAGTATGAAGCTGGCTGAACAAGTATAAAGCTCATTGAACATAATTTGCAACAATTTACACTTCTGAGGACAGCTATAGAAAACAGAGGGTAAAAAATAGCATTCTGGTTAGATTCAGAATCTTGCAGCTCTAAGAGCCTCCTGTCTTTTCATTCTAAAAAGTCACACTTCTCTTTCAAAACATTAATTCCTAAAATTATCATCTATTGGCGTTTTTCCAGAAAAAAATGGTGCTCTCTTGCCACTGGCCACGGAGCCCTTCCAGAATCCAGCCTTTTCACACACCAGACATCTTGATCTCCGTCCTCAGTCCCTGGAGCCACATACAGGACTGGACTCCGAGCCCCGGGGCATCTTGTCAGTCTGATAAATTCACAGCCACTCTCTGCTTGTGGAAGGTGGGGAGGGGCAGGGAAGGTGCACAGGGCTGTGCAACTCGGGCCCCCACCCTCTTCCTGCCTGCTGACCCTAACTCCACCTTGAGTACGAGCAGGGTCCTTCAGCCCTGGGGAGAAGAGGGGGTGCAGGCCTAGGGGCGCCCTGCACAACATCCCCGTGACCCAGTCCACTCCTGTCCTAGGCCCACAGCTGCCCTGGGGGCATCTCCGACCAACTGCTCAATTTAATCAGATACGCTTCTCCCATGTCTTACTGATGCCAAATGCCAGGTGCCACCCAGCTTGCCATCTCCGGGGCACATCCCAAGTGTCTCTCTGCCACCACTCTGTAAACTCATTCTCCTGCCACTGTGAAATGTTCACCCCCTGGCAGAGTCCCCTGGCCCTTGGTGACCGCCAACACCCTCAGTGTCCTCAGTGTGGCACTGCTGGGCCAGGAGGGGCTGGAGTGGAACCTACACTTTTTTATTTGCAGGAACAGCCAACTCACTTCCCTAGTACCAGCTAGAGGACACGGCTCAGAGAGGATATGCAAGACGCAGTCCCTGTCCTTTCCTGTTGGTGACCCTCAGGGGAGGTGCTGCCCCACCCCAGGCCACCCCATCTGGGAACAGGGGCAGGTACCTGGCCACTAACTCTGCTCCATTAAGCTCCGCTCTTAATTAACAATGTAAATGTTACCTTTAAAAGATAAAAGGTTCAGTGATTAGGGAGAGAAATGCAGGCCAGGAACCTAGGAAGGGGCTTGGCACTGAGCACCACACAGACATTCTGCTGTCATTGCTGAAATTAATTAATTAATCTAATTAATTAAACTAATACTAGACACCAACTTCCAAATACCCTGACTGTTACTCGCCACAAATTATTCCCCAGGTCCCAGATGTCCTGCACGGTTTCCCTTTCCTTTGAGCTGTTCAAGCCACGTGACGGGCTCCCCCCCGCCGCCCCCGTCTCTGATAATCTGCACCCAGTCGAGCAGCAAGTCCTCTCAACGTGATCTCTGCAGTGTGTCCAGAACCTGAGCCTGGACCGAGCCCCCCCACCCCCAGCCTGGCTGCAGGACTGCAGTAGCCTCCTGGCCTGTCCAACAACAGATGCGCTGGATGGAAGATTGTTTGGTGAGCTTTGAAAAAAAACTAACAAAACCTCCAAAAAAATCAACAAAAAACCCCCCACATACATCCTCTGCACACAAAATGGGAATAAACTGCTTCTATCAAGTGCTGAAAATCCAGAGACCACACAGCAGGCAGACCACAGCATCCCTTCACTGCAGAGCACATGAACGCAATTCTAATCCTAAAAATGCAACCAAGAGCCAGCCGCTGAGGCCACGGCACAGGCCAGCGGCCTCGATCCCATGGAGGTCCTGCCTGAGCAGGGAGGTTCCCTGGACCGGGGAGGCCTTGGCTTGGGGTTCAGACATGAACTCACCGGAGTCTCCGAGGCTGCCCTTCTGTTAGCCTGACGGCAAAGCTGATAGGAGGGTCCAGGCTGGATGAAGGATGCCCCTCCTCCGGCCAGCTTTCACGAGGACAGCTCGAGACTCTAGGGGTTTGTCTTGGTTCCAAGGCTCCCAAGGCACAGCCCATCCCGTGATGCCCCTAAACCGATGCGTCTGCTCCCTTGCCCTGCAGCCTCCTGGAGCCAACACCCCCCAGCCCATGGCCACCTTTAGTGGGGTGGTTAAGATGGGGTTGCATCTAAGCCTTCCCACAAAGCTGTCAGAGCCCAATGGCCTTCTTATCCTGTCACTTCTGTCCTGGGTACAGGAGACTAGTTGCTGGTGGCCAAGAACACCACGTTCGAGAAGGGGAGATGCCCGGGGCCACCAGGTGCCCGAGGCTGGGGCTCAAGATTGGGTCCAGTGGGAGGTGGCCTCCCTCCTGGCCCCTGCGCAGCCCAGGTCTCAATGGTGAACACAAGCTTAGCAGCCAGGCCCCCAAACAACACAGGGTTCACGGCCCCAGCCAGGAGACACACACTCAGACTCCCAGGTGCGGGGCTGAGCGCTGCTCTGACACGGGCCCTGTTCTCCCAGCACCTGAGCGTCTGCTGGGGGACAGGCACGGCCACCAGGAGCTGCAAGGCAAGGCCGAGTTTTGTCCAAATGCCATCGATCATGCCAAAAAAAAAAGGAAAGTCTTACTGGGAAGAATGTTGGGATATCTGTTTTTCTCTCTGTTCTCTTCTTTATTGGCCAGTTCAAAAGCTCCTTGTACGTGTCCAGACGGCAAGGACTAGGAGAAAACGCAGAGCCAGCAGTAAACGTGAGGACTCCCACAGCGCGCTTCCCTCCGCCCCACTGCCAAGCGCGGGGCTCGGACCCCGGACCTCTGCGCAGACCGCCCCCAGGGCGCCGCCCGCCTCCCTCCCGCTGCCCGTGGACGCTCGGCCAGCGCCGGACAGAGACGCGAAGGAGGCACAGGCCCACGTTCCCCTAAGCGCCCCGTCTAGTAGGGCCAGTGGAGGTGTGGACAGAACGATGACCCCTGAGGTGGACCCAGAACTGCGCTAAGGCAGGGACTGGCCTGTGCGCTGCCACCAAATCCTCGGGACCCACAGGTCCTGGTCCAAAGCAGGCACTGCACGCGCGCGAGTGGCCCGGCCACGGCAGAGCTCTGCGTCAGGGGACCGAGGGGCTGAAGGACGAGGAGACTGGTGGGTAAGGGCCTTCCTAGAGCCCCGACCCACTGAAGACTCAGTGTGCTCTGTGGATCGGCGGGGGTTTCCTGAGAACGCGGGTCCCAGGCCCGCCCCAGGTCAGCGCAGCACTTACCCGGACCCCCAGGGCACCTGCACGCGTGCCAAGGTTGGACGCGCCACCCTAATGCTTCTTCATCTCAGAGGAGGAAACAGCCGAGCGGCTCAGCTGAGCCCCCAGAACTGATGTTTGGTGTAGCGGGCGTGAGCCTAGTCTCCCGACTTCGAGCTCTTTCCACCACTCGGGGCCCCTTGGTTCTTGCAGGCTCCAACCACCCTCCTGCACTTGCTCGCTGCCAGGACCCCCTCCACACTCAGGTGGGCTCCGGGAGGTACATAGTGGGAAAGAGCCTTTCGAACCCCCAAATTACGTCTTTCCACATTCAACCTGACTGTTGGCTGAACCAGGGGCCACTGGAACTCGAGTAATTAGTATTAATGTTTATCAAGTGTTTACAATGTCCCAGGCACTGTGGGACCAGCCTTCACAGCTCACCTACCATTAATCGACATTACGAGCATCACCCTTGTTCTGCAGATGAGGAAGCAGAGCCCCAAGGTGGCTGCAGAATTGTCGAGTCACCTGGCCAGCAAGCGGCAGACACTGAATGGGGCCTGCAGCCTGCTGGCGTGGAACTGGCACCTGGGCCGTCAGGAAGGCACTCTCTTTTTTAAAGGTGGGGATAAGCCAGGGCTTCCGTGTGTCCTGCTGTGTGTGCCCCGGGGACTGGGGAAGGCCTCCCGGCTAAGCCTGGGATCAAAGCCGAGGCCCTGAGCAGGTCTGCAGCCCAAGGGTACCAGGCCTCCCTCTCCTAGGTCAGGAGTTCCTCCACCACAGACTCAGCTCCTGCCATCCGGTGTCCTCTTTCCGCACCAAACCCGATGGCCCCAGGCAGAGGCCCGGCCAGGCCCGGGCAAGGCTGGTGCGCAGTTCCCCGCCAGACCAGACCTCCTCCACTGGGAGCTCGAGGCTCGGCATCAGAGATGTTTTAACAGTGACCTCCCTGACCTAACCTCAGTGTGAAATTTGTGGCAACATCCTAGAACCTTCTCTTTTTCTACACCGAAAAGCTTTTTTGACCCCAGCCCTGAAAATAAAAACGTGGCATGATACCATAATGGGAGATGCGTGATGTTAGACATTTGTTAAAACCCACAGAACGGGCAGCCCTGGGGCCCGAACCCGGACCTCAATTTGTACTAATGAGTCAATACTGGTACATCAGTTGTGACAGGTGTAACACACTCGAGCAGGATGTTAACAACCCGGGAAACTGTGCAGGGAGAGCTGGGGTATGTGGGAATTTGGTACTTTCTGTACAATTTTTCTAGAGACCAAAATCTGCTCTAAAAAGCTCTATTAAAATTAATAAAATAATAAATTAAAAAAAAAACTTGAGAAGCCTCCCTCTTCCTGAGAAGGCGCGGTGGCTGCAGTGCTGGGGGTGAGGGAGCAGCTGGAGGGGTCAGAGTCGGGGGGACGGACCTGGCTCTGACACCCGCAGCTGCGTGGCCCTGGCACCAGCCTGAGCACCAGAACACGGAGAAGGGGTGGCGCTCCCTGGCTCCATGGGCAGCACAGAGGGTCACACGGGGTGACGGGCAAAGTGCTCTGTGCCCTGAACTTCTATCTCGTTTCCAAGTGCACAGAACGACCACCCACAGAGCCAGCCAGCACTTTCTCCTGCTTCAGTTACTGAGGGCTCGCATCCTGGGACGCTCTGATGGCCCAGGACAAATAAGAGAGCACGTAGGAGGGCTCAGCGAAAGCCGGGTGACCCCTGCAGGGCCTCGAGTGAGCCGTGCGTGTAGTAATGGGTCAGTAAATGCCTTGTGATTGACGGTCCCCTTACGTAAATTGGCCGAAAAGGATTGGTTTGTTTCAGGTGAGATTTCATTTCAATAAAAGTGCACAGGCACGTGCACACGCACACACGTATATACGTACAGGTGTACACTCACACATACACAGGAGCTACATTCCTTTCTCTCCCTCTTAGCGCTGGGCAGGCACAACCCAATGAGCAAAACAGACAAGCGGCCAGGTGTTGGCTGTTTCCAAAGCTCCAGGGGACCGTCCTGCTGGGCACTGAGCTGGGACCACTCCTGGAGGCCCCTCCCTGGGCCTTTGGGCAACACTTAGGACGGGGTCAGATCCAGGCACCGGGCCTGAAATAACCTGCCAGGACAGGGGCTGTCTGGAGAGGGCCTTTTTCTTGTCTGAATGGACTCACTGGCAGAGGTTTAACTGGGGCCCTGGAACAGACTCCGCGAGGTCAGCCTTCTACCTCTGCGGGTGGAGACTGCGGACTCTGGACACCCCGGAGAGTCGTCCTAAACAGGACGGCAGCTCCAGACTCCTCGTGTGCAGATCCTGGGCCCAGAGAGGCACACTCCTCACCTCCTTCCCAGGACAGACAGTCCTATGGGGACAGGCAGGGCCTCATCCCACAGGCGAGGAAACCAGGCGGAGGTTAAGTAGGTGGCTTACGTCTCCAGGCTGCCAAGAAGCACATCTGGGACGGGCCGTTGGGCAGGCTGCCTCTGCGCACGCCGTGATGGTGCCACTGGACCCATCCCAGTGCCGCCCTCCTGCTCCTCAGGTGGACCTCAGCTTCCACCAACAGAACACACATGCCCAGCTCTTTTGGATCGGCTACTTGGAAACACGTCTGTCTCCCTGCACTCTTCCGGGAAGAGACGCTGAGGATGAAGGGTGAGAAAAGAGAGAAAAGGACCTAGAGCCCACCTCAAGTGCACCCGCCTGCAGAGCCAGGAGGGGGGGCTGGTGACGGTGGCCTGGGGGCTCCTGGACAGGCTGCCCCTCGCTGGACAGACGAACAAACTGGGGATCAGAGGGTGACCTTCCCAAGGGCCCCCGGAGCCAGGACCGGGCGCCACGCCGCTGGACCCCACCCCTCGCCCCGCTCCCCTCGCCCTCACTGAGCGGACGACTCCAGGGGCAGCTGGGGAGATACTCAGTGGCAGGGCTGGGGCACAGCGGATGGTGAGGCACTTGCTTTAGGGGCAACGCTGTAAGAAGTACCCAAAAAACCCAGGAATCAAGAAAAATCACATTCAAATTCAACATCTAAAAAAGATCTAAATTAATGCAAAAAATCCAGGATGCTCGAAACATCAAACTTTTTAATAACGGCGGGGTCAGCAACGGTGTGGTGACAGCCTGCAGTGACGCCCCATGGGGCTGTCAAGAAACAGCAGGAAAGCCAGAGCGGCCCTGTCTGTCTTTGCAGTTGTGCTGCTTTGTCCATCTTGGATGCTCACACCAACGCTGATATTTTCAAACGCCGCATGAAGACATTATTCGTTCAGATGACTGTTTCAGTGCCCCTTACATTTTGCCCCTGGGCAAGTGCCTCACCTGCCTGACCTTCCTCCCAGGTTGGCTCCCTCTGAGTCGCCCTCACTTGGAGACGACTCAGCCCTCCCTGAGCAAAGTCAGCCCTGAGCCTTCACGTGGAGAAACACGAGCGCAAGAGGAAATAGGACAAGAAAGGAGGTGGGGGAAATGGTCCTACAGCTGCCAACTTGGATAGTCATTTTGAAAATGGAGAATTAACTTCTCTTGTCAGGCTGAGAGATTGCAAAACAATGTTGCTTGGAGCTGTCTTTCAATATGACCTAATTTCTCAAAAAAGGGGGACACATTTGGAAACAATTAAAAGGAAGCAAGATAAAGGCAGATGAGACTTGTGTTAAAAAAATAAGCACAATTATGGTCTAAATGCACCATCACCTTCCCACACCCTCTTAAGTTGCTTCTGGGCGAAAAGTCACTTGTCTACAACAGGATTCACGCTGTCTCCAGATACCACAATTGCATAATCCTTTGCTGTTTCAGAAGCCCATTGTCTGAGCCTCACACTGGGCCTGCGAGGTCGTTGAGGCATCCTCTCCACTGGCCCCCTTCACAGAGGATGGGGGCTGGTTTCCAGGAGGTTAACTGACGTGCCGGGGCCGGGGCCAAACAGCCAGAGCCAGGAGCAGGCAGCTTCCCTGCTGGAAACCTGTCCTCTTTCAAGCTCCGCACTCAGCACAGGGTCATACACGAGACGAGGAAAAGAAAACTCAAAACGGGACCAGGGATAAACCCTGAACAGCCGATCCAAGATGACACTTCCTGATGTGTCTGTCTGTCTGTCTGTCCGTCTGTCTGCCTGTGCGTCATGCATCTGTACCTGTCTACCTGATTCATAATTCACAGGACTTTAAATAAAAAATCAGCCACACAGGGGAGGCGTCACTGATGGACACTGTATTTTGTGAGAGTGATTGGGACCCGTTCGCTACCATCGGGCTGTACCACGTGGTTAGCTGTTCTTTGCTAGATTCATGGAGGGCGGGATGAACACGCTGACGTGAGCAGACACCACAGGGCTGTAGAGGCAGAGCTAGCGGCCCTCAGGGCAGCCCCCATGACCGTTTAATTGATGCTGTGCGGGGCGGCTGGGGCTCCTTGCTGTCAACACGAAGTTGTCATTCTGTGGTCTGCTCGGGCCCGGGTCCTGCGCATTCTCCAGATGACGGTGCTTCCGTCACATGTGATTTTAGAACGAGGCACTCAGAGCGCCAGAGCGGGAAGGAGCCTTTCGAAAATCTCGCTCACCCGCCTCATCGGATAGGTGAGGGGTGGGGGTCCGGGGAGGGGCACCACGGCAGAAACCAGGTTTCCTCAGAACCCATTTTTGGGACACTGTCACAATGGATGTGGACCTTCTGAGACTTTGGGCTAATTTATCTGAAAACGCAACAGCCCGCGTGCCAGCTTTCTTCCACACGACGAGACAAAGGGGCCCTCAGACTCACGTTGAACTCCTCCCGAAACCTCTTGCAGTCATCTGCCGATCGGACGCGGATCTCCTCCTCCAGGTGCCCCACGGGGATGGGGAAGTACTTCTTGGGCCCCGAGGGGGACCTGCTGAGAAGTGTCACTCTCTGCTGCTCTGTGGGATCAGAAGAAACCAGGGACCACTTAGCCATACTCCCGGATGGGGGACAGTAACCAGACTGACGGACAACATTCCCGGAGACATGGCTCAGCTGGAGGGGGAGTATTCCTCAGTTCAGGAGCCCCGGGGCTAAGCAACTGAGCACAAGGCCTGCCTCCTTATAACACACCTGCATCAGCCGTCGGTGATGCACCCCGGCCTGTGCACCGCTCCCGCCGCCCCAAGATGCCTAGTCTCCCCAGCTCTCTCATCCACTCTCCACTCCCTCCCTCCCACCCCTGCTCCTTCCACAAAGGATTTAGGTGGCTTCAGACTCTGACTCAGTTGTCCAGGTTTGAAACAGAGTAATTACAGGTTTCTGGGTACAAACTGGTAACAGATTGGGAATCGATTAGGATATGAAGTCTCCTTCGGCCTGTCTTCTTGGCCACAAATAGTCCTGGTTACACAAACCCTGTGCTCCAAGAGAAATAAGAGAAACCTCTCCCACCCCCACTGTTTTTTTTCAGGGAGAGGCTGGGGGCTTTGAGAAGGAGAAGGGCCAGACAGCAAAGGAGGCCCCGGACAAGCTGCCTCCACAGATTCAGTGTGAGACAGCGGGAGAAATCCTGGACGAAAGTGCTGATGATCCCAGCAAGGTCAACATAACTTTCCTGTCACTTGCAGAAGGGCCTGTCCCCACCTGCAGAGCCGCTCTGAAGCCCGGCCAAGAACTCCCTCCAGGGCGCATTCCTCCCAGAGACAGACACTGACAGATGAGCGAGCCAGCCTCGCCAGCCACACCCTCCTCCCTCCCATCCCGGCTGCTGGGACGTGCAGGGCAGGGAGGAGAGGACAGGAAGGTGGCACCTGGAGGCCATGTGCCATCATCTAACCAGGGTCACAGCCCCCCAGTGCTGCAAAACCGCCCTTCTGTGTCTGGCCGAGGTCCTCTGCTGTTGACCTTTTTTTTAAACTGTCTTGGATCGGTTTGGTAATTCGTCTGAATTCTGACAGCACCTCTGCTCCCCTAAACCACGGAACAATTCGGTAGCAATCTGCGTGGAGGAAGTTGTAGTCACTGGTGTGAACCCCTATTTTCAAAAGCCTCTGCCTCACACACTTTTCTCAGACATCTCAATGTGGGGGAAGAAAACCAACGTGCCTTCATAAGCAGCATTTCCAAGTTAGTAGCTGAACCTGGAACCTAAAAGAAGGGTCGGAAACGCCCCTGGAAGACTCCGAGCCTGCCTGTTGGACACGCTGGTACATCAGCTCCCTTCCTTGAGCTGATCCAAGAACAGGGTGGATTCAGGGGGCCCTTTAGGGAACTGTAGACTGTGAGCCTGCCTGTCTCATCTTAGAATGATCTTGAAGACTTACTGATGTTATATGTCAAAATCTGGTAAAAAAGACAGGATATGAACAGTGCCTCCCCAAAAGCCACAAACTGAACTGCCTTAAACGTCTGTTTCACACCAGAGAAAAATGAGACAAGTTCTGAAATGGGTTAGACATGTTACACCAGATGCAGCCAGATGGAAGTCTGGAAGCTGGAAGAGCTGAGCACTTCCAGGAGAAGGAAGGCAGCCCCCGAGCCGCCCCGGCCCCATGGTACCTTGCTCCTCGAGGATTCCGTTGGGCATCTTCTTGTCGTTGGTGCTGACCACCGCCTTCCTCTGCTTCCTGAACCTTTGAGACACAGACGTGTGAGGTGTGGGCACAGGGAGCTTCCTGAGAGCCCGGAGCCCGCTAGGGGATACCCACCAGGTGAGCCGGGAGAAGCTGCTCCTGCTGCTCATGGCTGAGCGCTGCCGCTGGCCACCCAACCCCGCGCCCTCACCGCCCGGGCCGCCTGCCCGCTCGCAGTCACAGCCTCCCGGCCTCACTTCCTCCTCCAGCAGGTCGGGGCAAGTCAGCGCCCCGGACACTCCTACCTGAAGAAGTAGGCGGCGAGGAGCAGAAGGAGGAGGCACAGCAGCAGCGGCAGCAGCAGCCAGGCCAGCAGGGGCTGGGGCGCGCCTGGGGCCGGAGGGCCTGGGGGCACAATGGGTCCCATCAGGGCGAGACATGGGGGAAAGGGGTCCGGGCAAGGACAGATGCCCAGCGCCAGACTTCATAGTTTGAAGAGCGGCCCCTCTTCCCTGATGCCAGACTCCACTTTACTGCTCACAAATGAGTTCCCCCTCCAGCCCACTGACCCTTCTTCCTGGACACCAAAACCCCACTTTACAGTTTGCAAACTCCCTCTTTCATCAGCCCTTTTCCTGGACACCAAAACTGTACCTTACGGTTTGCAAAGTAGTCTTCCCCTCTATCTGTCCCTCCTCCTCCATGGCAGAACCATACTTTACAGTTTGCAAAGCAAAGTCCCTTCCCTTCAACCCTTCTTCCCTGATACCAGAACTGTACTTCACAGTTTGTAAAGCCCCTTCTTCATCAGCCTTTCTTTCTGTACACGAGCACCCCACTTTTTACAGTTTTCCAGCACAGTCCACTGTCCTGGTCCATTGGATCCACAGAGGCCACTCTCCTTAGATGAGCACCACTGACAGTGAGAAGGTGCCATCCGAGGTCCACTGGTGCAGGGCCGTGAAGGCCCCAGACCCCCACGTGGCCTTCTTCTCCAAGTTCCAGAGTACCTGTCCCTTCCTCTACTGGGAGGTGGACAGTGGAGGTACAGACACCCCGCTGCTCTGTCCCAGGACAGATCGGGAGCTCCCAAGGCCTCCAGCACGAGCTCAGGGCACTGGACAGCAGCCTGGCCCTCAGGCCAGACAGACCTGCGGCCACGCAGTAACCTGAGCTCCCGGAGCTGTCAGCTCAGGATCCCAACCGCCCAGAGGAAGGCTGGTCACCAGGCACCCCCTTCCCTCCTTCATCTGTCCTTTCTCAACCAGAAGGTCCCACATCCCTGGACCCAACCTGGCCACCCTGGGGCTGCCCAGGACCTGGGCCACAAGCCCCAGTTCCAGGGGGCTCTGGTGGACGGGCTGCCACCCTCAGTCCCCAACCCTTCCCCGATGCTCTGATTCAGCTCCTGCCTCCCCAGATTGCCAGGCTGCCTCCTCCTCACCAAACCGCCAGAGGTCCCCTCTTCCTGGAAGCCTACACAGTTCCCCGGCCCCCAGTGGGTCCCACAGGGGCTCTGCCTGCCTTTAGTACAGACTGCCTTCACCCCTGTTGCAGTGCAAGCCCTCGAAGGCAACAACTGGGCCTCCATCACTTTGAGTCTCAGAGGCACCAGCATGGCCCCTGAGTTGAGTGGGGGCCCACAGCCCTGCAGCCCCCCTCCCCCAGGGTAACCTACACCTCACCCCTGGCTGCGAGCTCCCAGGAGCAGGCCATCCCTCCCGGGCCTCGCGGGGCTCAGGTATGTGGGTAGCGCATACACCCCTAACAAATAATGAAATGTTACTGACTTGAGTGACTGTTAGACTTCAAAGTGCGGCAAGGGGCAGTTGGACTGTGGTGAGGGACCTGGTCAGGCCTGCTCCAACTGGCTAGCGATGGCCGCAGGCCACTGCAATTGTACTGTGAGGCCGGGGGAGGCCAGGCTGAGGAGCTGGAGGCTCTGCCCAGTCCCTCCCCTGGAGCCCAACCTGCTGCAGACCCCTCCTGAGGAGCCCCCCTGGCCTGAGGTTCCCCCTGCAGCTCCTCAGAGCAAACTCAAGCCCAGGCTGATGGGGGAGGCTCCTGCTACCAAGGGGCAGAGCTGCTTCATAGCCCCGACTCAGCTCTGCCCCTGCCGTCCAGACGCAGCCTGGGTGGGGCCCTGCTGCTCTCAGCGGGCATCCCCGCTGTGGAACATCCCACTTCTGCATTTGCTCAGCTTGAGCTTGGCCATGACTGACCGGCCAGCTCGCTGGGTGGACCTAGCTGAGGGCACAGGCTTGCCGGGAGCCTCACAGGGGCCCTGGGGCTGTGCACATGGACGGAAGCCCACCCCTGAGGCTGTCGGGGCGCCAGGGTCAGTCCAGCCTCCATGCTCACAACGCCCGGCTGGTCACAGATGTAGATAATTCCCTGGCACGTCCTCAAGGCCTGGGGCTGAATGACCCAAGGCCCCTGGAGAGGGGCTGTGCACAGGGACGGAAGCGATAGATCACCAGGGCAAACGGGTTCCCCGGCTCGGACTTTCTGCCAGTGGTCAGCAGCTGCCTCTGTTCTGGAAGGCAGAGGTCAGGCGGGAACACCCAGGGGCTGACAGACCTGGTGGGGGCTCAGGGAACTTGGGGGGGGGTCCATTCCCTGCCAATGGGCTGCGGGGCTGGCCGGGTCTCAGCCCCCGCCCACTGGGACCAGGGAAAGGTGGACCCAGAGTGCTTAGCTCTTTCAATTTACTAAAAGAAGAAATCTATATTTTTATGTAATAATTATCTGATTTTTAAATACTGGTAAGCAACTCAACCTAAATACTATTCTGAAAACCAGCGTGGGCCAGAAGGAGGCTCTGCAGGCCAGGCTGTGTCCCCGGGGCACCAAGAGCTCTCGATGGGGACTCAGGGTGGTGACTAAGCGGAAATACGGAGTCACTTTCTGTTTTCACTTCACGATGATGTGGCTCAGACTGGGTGGGGCTGAAGGTCAGCGAAGGGGAGCGGGGGGGGGCCTCTCCCGGAGGTAAGGGCCCTGGTGGTCCACTTAGAGCAGCCTTCTCCCCAAAATCTCCCCAAATTCTACGCAGCTCATGCTGCAAGTCACGTGTGTATGGATGTTTGTGCAAATTTTTGCCT